TGTTTTGCAGCCCTTTACTTTCCCCATTAAAAAACATTGGTCTCATTGAATTTTTGACATAACTTCAAACCCTTTAACCGGTTACTGTGTACACTATACTCATTCTTTTTTGCTTGGGGGTGTGGGTTTTTATATCTAACCCCTGGGAACTTCCCCACAACATGTTCACCTCACAGCAACTTGCCATACAGATTTTCACATGAATTGCTTCAGTATCAGCATTTCCCTCTCCAGCCTCCAGAGTATCAGGGTCTACATTATGGTCCCACATCATCATCCTGGTCTGGTTGATGGGCACTTCACTGGTACCATCCACCTCATACGAGCCAAACCGTGTCTGAAACTGAGAAAAAGCTCCGAGGGGGGGAGCATTACCATCTTTCCCCAAGCCAATAGCTCAGAGATTCCAGAGTGCTTCCCCACTCAGCAATACAAAGAAAGGGATCCTCTCATCCCATTGTTAGTATTGTCTATACCATAGGCTTGCATCATTGTCTTGAGGGTTTGATGTAATTTCCCTCTATTTCCCCTTGATCTGTTTGTACCTCCCGAGGAAAGCCAACAGGGGAAAAAGAACTTCATCAAAGCCCTTAAGACCACTCGACTGTTATCTTGCGTAGAGGGTTTGCTTCTGGGTACCTGGTAGTGGAGCAAATTATTGTTAGTAAATAATTATTTCCCATTCTTGTCCTTGGGAGGTGGGCCAACGACATCCACTACCAGCTTGCTGAAGGGTTCACTGGTGCTAAAATCGGCTGAAGGGGAACGGGTTTAATGCTTTGATTAGGTTTCCCTATAATTTGGCAGGCATGACAGGCCCTTTATATAATCTCCCACCGTCTCCCACAGCCGAGGCCAGAAAAAGTGCCTGGAACCCGGGATACGTTTTAGCAATACCTAGGTGTCCACCTAGAGGTGTGTCATGCACTAAGCTAAGAACATTGTTTCTATAAGGCTCAGGCACCACGACCTGGTGACAAAAACTTGGCTCTCCTCTACTGGTACTGCAACCGAAGGTGCCTTCTTTATGAGTATACCTTTCCTGAAAAAAGAAGCATTTATTTAAAAATGAAGATCCCTCCTCAGTCACAGCTGAGGCTCTGATCGACTTAAGTGTGTCATCACACCCCTGTGCATCAATTAACTGCATCATAGTAAGGCCGATCCCCTCACACTACTTTCCCCGATCTCTGCACTGATTAGGCTCAACTCGGGTTGTGGTATCCTTTCTTTAGTTGACTGCAGTTCAACCCCAGAAAATTTGAGTTTCCAAACCTAAGTCCCACCATCCTCATGAGAAATATAAGGATTACCCTTGGTATCCTGGGCACGAGACATACTTCTTGTGATGGCACCAACAGGGAAAAGGTCTGGCAGGTCTCCCTAGCCTTCTTCTCCCAAACTTTGGGGCCTGGTTTCCCCATACTAGTGGTTCTTCACTGTCTAACAGGCCCATAACATTATTCCCTAATAAGAGGTCGACCCCTTCAAAGGGAATTTCATCTGAGGGATACCTACAGGGAGATTGCCAACTTTGGTATGCAGATTCTACCCTAATTTGTGTACAGGTTTGTCCTTATGGTTGAACCCGTAATACCCTTCAATAAAATATCTACTCCGTATAGGTATCCTTAGACACTGGGGGCCCAGCATCTCCAGCACGTACCAAGGAGTAGTGCTACCATCATCTCTCAAGGACACTATGTTCTCAACCCTAACCCAACATTCCTTATGCAAAGCAATGTGACTTACTAGAAAATACCTGCATCTGGGGGGTCTAGACCCAAAGGTACTCCTCACCTTGCTTTGAAGACCAAAATAACAGGTAACTGGATGTGTGTCTGCGTTAGAGTCCTATGGGGTGGTTCCTCCCTTTCCTGATCTCGCTGCCTTGGACCAGCAAAACTTTTGTGTGTGTCCTGTTTTGTTTACCAGTAATAACAGATAACTCTTAAAGGTATTTTTACCATTTGGTGTAGGACTGGGCCCCCCCCCCCCCCCCCCCCCCCCCCCCCCCCCCCCCCCCCCCCCCACCCGCTACTGTTTACTCGAGGACCTGGAAAAATTATCTGAATTGTCTCTAGGTAAACTTTGAGCTCCAGCTGAATTACCTTTTCTCTTCTTTTTTAGAGGGTGCCTCAGCCTTCATTGTCCCTGAAAATTCTTGCCCCACTTACCTTTATGACCATAGGACTTGGGAATATGTTTAGAACGAGTGGAGAAGGGAAATTTCAGAAGGGAGCATGACTGTTTTTATTACCAATTTCCCATGCGAGCCAAGAAACGGTCACCTAGATCCAGTGCTTCTGAAAGTTATCTGGGTTTTTGTCCCAAATATTCTCTGAGTTCAAAAGGATTGGTATTGTACAATTCCTCATGAACCATCGGATCTACTAATTTGTATAGTCTTTATTAAATCCTTAGAAACAAAACCA